TCAAATCTAATATGTCCAAAACTTCTCTCCTGAGTTCTGCTCCCGAACTTCCTTCTCTCATAGTGTCCCTCATCTCAGTGAATGACAATGCCATTATTTTATTTGCTTGAGCCAAAAATCCTGGAGTCATTTTTGGCTTGCTTTCCTCTCTCACACTACCCCAACTGCATCAAATTCTGTCTGCTCTACCTTCAGAATAGGCTCAGAATCTGACCATTTCTTACCACCTTCATTGCAACCGCACTGGTCCAATGGATTATTTTGACAGGTTCCTCACTGGTCTCCCTGCTTCTGCCCATGCCCCTTGCAATCAACACAGCAGTCAAAGCAGTCCTTTAAAAACACAAATCAGCTCATGCCATTCTTCAAAATCTTTGGAATAGAAACCAAAGCCTTACAATGACCTAGCAGGCTCTCTATGACCTGAGTCCCACCTGCCACTTCTCTGACCTTGTCACCTACTGCTCTCTCCCTGGCTCACATCCCTGCAGCCACATGCTCGTTTATTTTTCTCCAAAATTGGAGAAATGTGTCCTGGACCAGTCTGATGAAGCCTGTGGTACTACTTCTGAAATAATATTTTGAAAATATTAAATAAAATATAGTACATTTAAAGAAAACCAATTATAATCAAAATATAGGTATCAAAATATTAATAAACCAAATGTGTGATCAAATAATATATGTACTTCATTACTAATGCATCCAATTCAAAATCTAGCATTGGATCCAATAGTTACCATAGTTTTTAAGCAGTGTTAGCATAAACAATATTTTGAGAGATCTGTTCATACTTGCAATGTGATATGAAAATATCTATGACTTCCATTGGTGAGAGAGTTAAAGACACTGCTACCTTGGTCTGTGGCTTACATTCATAATTGACAGAAGTGCTGCACTTCAGCTAGAGTTGGTGAAAAGGTCATGGAGCCCTGAGTCCTACCTGTGGATCCATGTGAGGCTTATGGTCCCCAGGTTAAGAACTCTGCTTCAGGGCGAAGGTACATGCTGTTTCCTCTGCCGGAAATGCTCTCCCCTGAGATCTCCACACAGCTCCTTTAGCCTGGCTGGAGGCCTTTGTAAACCTTTTTTCAATGTAGAATTGACAACACCACTTACAAGCTTCTTACCATGGCAGAATAATGAATAAGCCAATGAATCTGAAATGGTTTAGGGTCTCTCACTGTAAGAGACTTTATGTCTTGAGAAAAACTTCACTAATTTGGACTAATTGTAAGAGGCAGTTCTGAAATAATAAACATCCCTGAGTTGTAAAATGTTCTTAAGTTTGTGTTAATTTGTTATAGCACTGAGATTTGTTTTACATTTTGTTATAAAAACTAAGCTGGCCCTAAATAGCCAAAGGGATGCTAATCACGTGTGCATATATCTTTTTAGTATTTTCTTGTACATACATATGCATACAGAAAGGCTAAGCTTTCTGAAAGGTCACAGCTATTAAACATCGAAGCTGAGATTTATACCAATGCAATTTGATTCAGAACGTCTCTTAACCACAGCATAGGTAGATCTTACACATCTCTTAATAGTTTATTACTATGCATGTTATAGCTTTTTGTTGTTGCAGTAAACAAGATTTTAAAAAATGTATTTTGTAGTAGTTTACTGCCAACACTTAGGAAAGCTATAAGTATCTGCATATTTATCTTGTTTCCAGTCATCTTACTGAACTTTATTATTTTGAATAGTTTTTCAAATTGATTTTCTTGTTTTTTTTAAGGTAAATAATTTTTCCCTGAAGTTATCCTCTTTTACAAAGAATGAATTCTGTTTCCCTGAATGTTGTATATTCTTCCTGAGGGAGGAATGTTTCATTGCATATGCACAGCAAACAACTTAAAGACCTCTAGGAGATATTTATGTTTTCCAAAGACTTCCTTGTGACAACCCACCCCTGGGAATTTCTCACTCTGGCTCTGCCTCCATATTCCCCCAGCTTTACCAACTCCTTATTTCCAACCACTCTCTGGCTACCCTACCCACCTTCAAAATTCTCTCCCTTCCCAATACAGAGCAATCCCATTCTCCTTGGCTTCTACTCCAAAACTTACATGTGTAAACCAGTCACGTGTTCAGTAGACCAACGCTCTTTGCTTCAACAGGATCCTCCACCTGCTATAGCTATTCCACTCCGTAGAGTAGCTATAGCGATAGAAATAGCCATTTTTCCTATTATATATGATTAAACCCATATGCTGACTTGTGGCCAAAACAGTGAATGTGGTTCTATCGAGTGGTTCTGTGGCCCTGTTCTTAAAGGAATTGCCTTTGTCATATTTGTTTTTGTTCCAAAGGTGTCCCTCAGCCTAATATAACTTGGTTGAAGAGAGGAGGATCTCTGAGTGACAATGTTTCCTTGCTTTTCAATGGATCCCTATTGTTGCAGAATATTTCCCTTGAAAATGAAGGAACCTACATCTGCACAGCCACCAATGCTCTTGGAAAGGCAGTGGCAACATCTGTACTCCACTTGCTGGGTAAGTGTCGAATTCTTATTGCTCCTTAAGTGCCTCCTATAATATGCACAAAGTACGCCCCAGTTTTGTTGATTTTGGAGTTGAGAAGTGAACAAGATGGACATCAGATGTTTTTAACCATTGCTACCACTGCCTGCTTAAAAACAAGCACTAAATTCTAACACCCTCTTACCACCTGGAATCCCCAGCACCTAACACACATGTTGGTAATGTTCTGTTTTGTTGTTTGAGTCAGTCTTGCTCTGCACCAGGCGGGAGTGCAGTGGCGCCATCTCGGCTCACTGCAACCTCTGCCTCTCAGGTTCAAGTGATTCTTCTGCTTCAGCCTCCTGAGTAGCTGGAACTACAAGCACACCAGCACACCCAGCTAATTTTTGTATTTTTAGTAGAGACGGGGTTTCACCATGTTGGCCAGGATGGTCTCCATCTCTTGACCTCGTGATCCGCCCACCTCAGCCTCCCAAAGTGCTGGGATTATAGGCATGAGCCACCACACCCAGTCAGATGTTAGTGTTAAGTAACTTGAGTTTCATGAAGAAATGAACTTGAATTTGAATCATTGGCAGAATTAGTATGAGAATATAGAATCCATAGCTAAACCAAGAGGAGAAAACATGAGAGATTTCTCCCTAACTTTCCTTGTGGGCAGTTAGAGGAGCCCAGAGACATAAAGAGATGGGGGTGCCAATGCAGGGGTTGGAATAGCTGTAATTAATGCACAAAACGTTTTGATGTACATTAATTCTTGTGATACGTACGATAGCACAATGTTGTGGGTGATAGTTTTTAATCTCGCTATATTTAGGAGGATCCCTGGGCTCATAAAGAGTTTGGACTAGTGCCCAAATATGTAGTCTGCTCTTTTGGTGCTCTTCCCGCTACCCGTCATGGACTCTTAGTGCTGATCAGAAAGGCAGCGGTGTGCCACCATGTGGCTTTTTCCAAAGAGCCTCTGTGATCTTCCGAAATCTTGGAATGGAAGGTTTTCAACAGATTGGCTAGGCTAACCCTGTCTGGTTATTGAATGACTTCTCCATGCTCCCTTCAAAGCCCCAGCCTGTTTCTTTCATCTGCCCATCTCAACTCATGAATCTGCATGCTTGTCTCACTCCTACCTGACATACCTCTTCGTTCAGGAATTCCCGGAAGCCAAGCAGCTCATGACTTTGGTAACTTGATGGAGGGATCAAGTCACAGCCTTCCTCCAGCATCCTCTACTCTTATGTGCAAGCTTCACAACCTTCCTATAAGCCTGCACTCCTCACCATGCGAGCCTAGGGGACACTGCCCATTCTCCTGCTCCCAGCATTCCTCTTGTGAGGAAGAGCTCTATCCAACCAATCTGCTTCCTCCAGACTCTTTTGGAATTATGTTGAATATATTTTCTTCATCTTGCAGTTGAGGCTAGAAACCCTGGAAACATGCAGAAACGCCACATGCTAGGACAGTGAGTAACTCCAGCTAAACTCCTAAAACACCCCACACGTCCATACTCACACATTATCTCCCAAACCTGTGATCATGAGCTGAGTATCCAGGAGCACAGCAGTATTATAGAGGACTCATTTCCTAGAAGCTGTCTTTAAGAACACCCTAGCTGGACCTAGAATTAGATGTCTAACTGATAAAAAGTGCTGTTTTGCTTTTTTCCTTCTCAGAACGAAGATGGCCAGAGAGTAAAATTGTATTTCCCCAAGGACATAAAAAGAACATCCTCCTGGCAACCAACACTAGAACCAACAGCAGTGACCCAACAGGAGAACCCCTGCCTCGAGGTGAGATTTTGACCTTTTTAGATTTGCTACGTGTGAGGCATGTGTAAGGAAAAGGTTTTAGCTAAAAGACCATCTGTGTTTTTCACTTTGCAATATGTAAAATTATTTCTAGGCATTTGGCCAGCCTTTTTCTGGACCCTCAGTCTTTGGTGGTTCAACTTATTCTTTCCATATTGAAACACTTTTTAGAAAAATCCACTCCTGAGGAAGCCCACAGAGCTCATATCTCAAATGTGCACTGTTGTGATACTACAGATATTGATTTTCCAGTTTCAAAACTATTGCCAATGTGGTAAATATTAATAGATGGAAGTTTGCTGTATTAGAATTGATTCTTTCATTGATCTTTTTTCAAGATACAGTTTTCCATACACACCAACTTTGTTATGCATCAGTGCTTGATCAGGAAAACCTAATCTAAGTGTTCCAAGCTTGTAAAACTCTGCAGAAGGCCAAGGGATCAAGGTAGAGGTAAGAAAATCAGAAATGCTAGAATCACAGAAAGCCGTTACTGATCATCTCAGCTCCTTGTAGCTCAAAAATGGGTAAATAACAAGGACACAAAGAAACTACTTTTAAACTTCATGTTTTACTCCATCTGTTATACAGGAATAACAATGGCCATGTCATTTCTACCTTTTAAATCTTGAGCAGTGCCTCTCATTTGCAGAACGTATCATGTGGAATGTAACTCAGGGATATATATACATATATATATATGTATATATAACTTAGAGATTCTAAGAAATATAGTCTCTAGGCTTTCACCTCCTGAGATGCAAGAGAGAGTACAGAAGGGGGAAATAGTGTTGAGCTGCCATTCTGCAATCCATCATGTTACTTATGACATCATTATCTTAGGACATTTGTAGGATATATTTTTTCTCTTTAGACATAATACTATATCCATTATTGTATACCCAAATATCCATCCATTCATTGGATATTCAACAATTGTTTGCCCAGTGCTTACTCCTCCCAGGTCTGGCGATGTAGAGATGACTTCCTCCTTGAGAAGCTCACAGTCAGAGGAGGGAGGCAGTCATGTAAACAGATACAGTACTGTAAAACAGTGTGACAAGTTCCGTAATAAAAAGATGACCAAAGTACAATGGTAGCACCAAGGAAGGGGCCCTAGCTCTCTCTAGAGAAGTCAACTGAGTTTTCATGTAGATCATGATGTTTGTTCTGGGAAGAGAAAGGAGGAAACTCCAGTCAGAGAAACCATGGTGTGCAAATGCAGAGACATTACATGTGGCATGAAACATAAAGATCAAAAGAATTGCCTCAAATCAATTAATGAAAAAAAAAGGATATGTGTGAGGCTGAAGCTATCGATGAAGGTGAAGCCTTTGGAATAGTCAAACTCTTGGTTTATTGGGACTACCTGCATTGTTCTGCCACCTCCTACATGCGCACACACAAACACATGCCCAAATATACAACCACACATATACACACTGTAGAATGTACCAGCCCTTCAAAGGATCCTTAGCTTAGCATTTCAAAGAGACTCCTTTATTAATTTAACAAATATTGGTTGCATGGCTGAGGCTAATATTTAACATACCCTGTCCTAGTGTTGAACAGTGTTTATGGTCTTGACATTCCAGTAGAAAAGATGGACAAGAAACCAGTGAATAAATTTAAGATACTTCTCAGTGGTAAGGGCTGTGAGATGAAAGCCACTTTAGTGAGGACGGTCGGGATGGGCCTTCTAAGACGTGGTATTTGAGCCCAGACCTAAAGAATGAGGTGAAACCATCTGTGCAGAAAAATGAGAAAGAAGCAAAGACCATAAAATTGGAATAAGGTCAATGTGGCCTCGTAAAGGAAATAAGATTCCTGTGACTAGGGTACAGTGAGGGAGAAGGAAGAGGGGTATGAAATGAGGTGGGAGTGGCTGAGGACCAGATTAGTCAGAGCTTTGAGGTCTACGGTAAAGACTCAAGAGTTTACTCCTAAAACATGGGAGGTCATTGAGGAGTCTTATATGGGAGTGATATGGCATGATCTGCTTTTCAAATGCATTTGTGTTAAAAAGCACTAAATAGAAAAAAAAATTATCAAATTGGACCGATCATATCAAAATTTTAAAGATCTGCTCATCAAAGATACCATTAAGAATAATGGATAAGCCATAGACTGGGAAAAATATTGGCAGAACATATGTCTGATAAGGAACTTATATGCAGAATATGTAAAGAATTCCTACAAGTTAACAATAAATATCCCCCAACACACACACACACACACACACACACACACACACACACACACACTGCAACAGACTTAAACAGACACTTCACAAAAGAAGATATGTAGATGGCATCAGGGAAATGGAAATTAAAACCTCAGTGACATACAATTTTATAACCAGTGAGTAACTAAAAACAAAAAGACTGACAGTGGCCACTTTGGCAAGAATGTGAAGCAACTGAAACGCTCAGGCACTGCTCCATGTGTAAAATGTTTAGACTACTTTGGAAGACTATTCACTAGCTTCTGATAATGTTAGGCATACACCTACCATTGACCTAGCAGTTTCACTGACAGGTATTTACCTGAAAAAACTGTTCACAAAAAGCTTTATTCCAGAATGTTCAACTTTGATAATAATAAGTCATTGACAGGGGAATAGATTAGAAACTATGGTATATTTATACAATGTGAACATGATTCTGCAATAAAAGAAAATGAAATAACTACTGACATGCACAATGATATGAGTGAATCTCAGAAACACGCTAAGCAAAGGCCAGGCATGGTGGCTCATTCCTTTAATCCCAGCACTTTGTGAGGCCTAGGTGGGCGGATCTCCTGAGATCAGGAGTTCAAGACCAACTTGGCCAATATGATTAAACCCTACTACAATACCCTTTTGTATTTTTAGTCTTTACTAAAAATACAAAAATTAGCTGGGCGTGGTGATGCGTGCCTGTAATCCCAGCTATTAGGGAGGCTGAGGAAGGAGAATTGCGTGAACCTGAGAGGCAGAGGTTGTAGTGAGCTGACATCACACCACTGCACTCTAGCCTAGGTGTCCAAGAACAAGCAAGACTAATGTATACTGATAGAAATGAACGAGTGGCTGCCTGCGGGGGGGGACAATTGATTGGAAAGAGGTAAGAAAGGGATGATGAAAACATTGCATACCTTGCTTTGGATCATGGTTACGTAAGTGCTTACAATTGTGAAACCTTGTAAAACTGCACACCTGATATCTGATTATTTTATTGTGTATGAATTATACCTCAATTAAAAAGACACACATTTTAAAAGGAATGCACATTCCTGCCTTGAACTGCCAAGGTATTTTTGTGAAATGTGGCGTAATAGAGTCAGACACACTTGGGATCTGGTCCAGCTGACAGGTGACAGACCTTGGGCAGGTTACTTCGTTTCATTCAGTTTCTGCCTCTGCAAATAAAAATGTCAACTTTGTAAGATAATCTTGAAAATTAAATGAAAAATTGATTATAAAGTGTCTAACTCAGTACCTGTCACCTGGGAGGTTCTCGGTAAACATATCTACTTTTTAAAAATTATTTTTAAATGAACTGTAATCCTGAGTGTCCATGTAAAAATCTATTTTACATTTTTGCTTTGCAAATGATGCCATGTGCAATTTAAAATGAACTTCAAAAATTAGAAAAACTGGAAAACAAGTGAAAGAAATCATTGCTATGTGAGAGAGCCTGTGGACACAGCTGGTAGCTATCAATTACCTGCTATTATTACAGGAAAATCTGGCACCTTCTGTGATCACACACAAATCCATCATCATCATATCCTACCTCATCTTTTGTGTCAGCAGGGAAAGAGACTAAAATTTTTTAAAAGCTGAGATTACTGGAAGTGATCAGCTTCTACTTTTTAAAAGGAAACTCCTATGTTTATCTTTTCAGATGTCTCTGTGACAAATTATTTATGCAGTTACAGGGTCAATCTGATGTTTAGATTAAGAATTAATGGAAAAATAAAAATAGAACTCAAATGCATCTTTAACCTTACTGCTTAATCCCTACTCCCTGTTCCTCCTGCTAAATCATCTTTCATTTCTCTGCCTGATCCACTTTTGAGAAATTGAACGCGTTAGGGCATCCCCTAGAGAGGCCCTCCTCTCTTGTCCTTTGGCTGTGCTTAGAGAATGCTGAGGAGGCAGCCCACTGTTGAGAGTGCCTCCTCTCTCTCTGGGATCTTTCTGGCAGACCCAGCTGGCCTATGATAGTACCTCTCCAGGCTGTGGTCCAAGGACCCCATTCTGGCTGCCAATCTCACCAATTATTACAGTAAGTTACTTGAGGGAAAATAACAGAGAGGACTCCCTTGCACTATTAAGATGGCTTTCTCTCCATATGCCTCTTAAAGAACCAGACTTAACCAAAAAAACATCTCATGGTGGTCTTTGGCCATGTCCTCTCTGGCTCATCATTATTTCCCTTTTGGGGCTGCCATGATATTTTGTTTTCTTTCTGCAGAGCCTTTTTGGGAGGCTGGTAACTGGTCACATTGTTCTGCCACCTGTGGTCATTTGGGAGTCCGCATTCAGAGACCCCAGTGTGTGATGGCCAATGGGCAGGAAGTGAGTGAAGCCCTGTGTGACCACCTCCAGAAGCCACTGGCTGGATTTCAGCCCTGTAACATCAGGGACTGCCCGGCAAGGTAAGTGAAGTCATTCTTTGTATCTCATCAACACCAAGTTTTTGCTTGTTTTGAAAGGTGCAATGATTTGGACATAATAATTCAATAGCTAATTTAATCACCACCCCAATCTGCTTCCTGCACACACAGTGCTATCAGTTCCTTAAGATTTTAGTGAGGCTAATTTCTTGGGTTTACCTAGGATGTAATTCAGTGGACCAGAACCACCAGAGGCGCTAGTTAAAAACACAGTTCTCTAGACTTGGCCCCTGAAGGTAAACAATAAGCTTTCTAAGCAATAGGTGATACAAATTAGTAATTTTAAAATGTTCAAAATCAAATTCATGGTCTCCAGCAAACTTACTCCATCCCCAGTATTTCAGATCTTAATGACTACATCCTGGACTCCCTTCTTTCTCTCACTTCCACCCAATCTTGTCCATTTCCACTGTTACCACTGAAGTCCAAGCCGTCATTGTTTCTTACATGGATCACTCCAAGAGCCTCCTGGTTCTCATCTCCCTCCCTAGAGTACTTTGTCCACTCTCTAACAATAAAGATCTTTAAAACAAATTCATCATGATAGTTCTCTTCTTAAAACCCTTCACATTTCTCTTAGGACAAAGGCCTAAAAGATAGGTTGTGACAGTCACAACCCCAGTCTCTTAGGACTATCTTGCACACCTTTTTATCTCATCTAAAACAGTGCCTAGCAATAGTAGATGCTCAGTAAATATTTACCGAGTAAATGAGTGGAGGAATTGAAGTCCCTTTATATTTGGGCCTTGGGCTATCCCTCTGTCTTACCGCTTGTCTCTCCCACCCTAGTCATTTGATCTCCTTCTATGCTGTTTTTTTTTTTGTCCCTTAGATCTGCTATTCTGTTTCCTGACTCAGAGCCTTTGTGTATACTTCTCCCTCTGCCTAGGACGCTCTTCTCTCTCCTTTCACTTAATCATTTCTAATCATCTATATATACCTCAATACATGTTCAGGGAAACTGTCCCGGAACTTAGCCCTCCAAAGTAAATCAGGCCTCTGTGCTATATTACTTTTGTACTTCCTTATCGTTCTTCCTAGTTCTTACAATTGTCTGTCTTGCTCTCCCACTGGACTGTAAATTCTATGGGGAGTAAATCCACAGGTGTTTTGCTCAACACAAACACCTAGCACTTAGCACAATGTCTACTCCATCATATACTCTCTATAAATATTTATGAAATCAATGAATGAATGATATTACAACAAAGACCTTAGCAGATGTTTGACCAAATAGTACCAAAATCCATAGTAAAAAAAAAAAAAAATTAACAAATAACAAAGCATTTGTTGAGTACAAACCTATGAGGAAGATACTGTTATCCACCTCGTTTTACTGATGAGAAACTGGAGGAATGTTTAATGTTATACAGCTCACTACCCTTGGGCAGATGTCCACACTAGATCCAGTCATCTGTGCCTTTGAGGAAAGTGGGAGGAAGGGTCACAGTGTAAAGCAAAATAGGTGCCTTGAGACCTGTTCTTAGAAGGGCTGTCAATATTGCAAGCACCCTAACTGATATGTCTTCCAGTACCCTTTGTAATTCTCAAAAGGAAGACCTCATGCTAAGGTCATCCCTCAGAAAGCAGCAAACTCATGCTTCAATAACTTGGAGTAACCTGACTGAGAAAGCTGCTTTATGGCATTTCTTGATTTTCAAAATGTGGAGAGAATCCACATTGGGAAATTTATCAGCAGTCTTTTTTCTCATATTCTAAAGCCTTTGCATACTCCTAGAATAAACAGACACTTTCATACCTAGAAGAGACCATAGAGATCATCTAATCCTGGATCCCTCTACATTCAACATTTCTGTGCCACGGCTCCCTCTGGTGGTCTGGAGAGGACTGTGGCTACTGTCTCGAGAAGGGTTTTTAATTTAAAGATGCAATATAGATTTGCTTCTCTATTAACACACAAAATAACAAGATATAGTTGTACTTTAATTTTAATATAGTGATGAATATAAATGATATTTTGAGACCCCTGTCATAATTGTGATGTGCAAATATCTATGATTTCTATTGGTAACAAAATCACAGATATTAATGCTACTGTACTTGTGGCCTATGTTTCTATAATTGAAGAAAAATACTAAAATTCAGTTAGAGCTTAGTGACAATGAAGATGTAATTCTTTTTCATCCAAGTATGTGGTTTTCTTGGATAACCACGGACATCAGGTTAGAAACTTCTGCTCTGTGGTCTCCCAGCAACAGCATCTTCGGTGATGAAGCACTCAATATCTCAAAGGTGTCCAGCTCCAAGTTCAGTCTCCTGTAATCATCAAAGCATGAACTTTAGAGTCAGATAAATGTAGAATCCAATCCCAGCTCTGCTGGCAGGTTAGTGATGTGGTCATAGCTAAGTTACTCAATTCAATGGACGTCAGTTTCTTTTCTACAAGGATGGGAATAACATGAGAATTATACAAGCTAACATGTAAGTATCTTGCAGAGTGAACAACACTTACGTGCTGGAAATATATTTTCTTCCTTTTAGTTTTAGTGAACTGAACTCTACCTTTTTGAAATTTCATCCTAAATTTGCCCCAGCTTTACCCTCAAGGGGCACACAAGTAACAGCTCTTCATGAACCTGAAGACAGCTCTACCCCATTCCTACAGCAGTCATCTCTACATGATGACACTGTTGCTCTCAAGTTAAAGAAGGTCTAAGAAAAGGCTGGGAATCATCCATGCTGCTACCCATTCCCATAGAGACATATTACAGCCCAAGACAGCCATGGTGTTGGGATTAGCTTTTTCCTTTGATGAGACTCCTCATCGAAGGTCTGGCATGCCAGTCCTTACTAAAGTCCTGTAGTTTTTGTTCCTAGGTGGTTCACAAGTGTTTGGTCACAGTGCTCTGTGTCTTGCGGTGAAGGATACCACAGTCGGCAGGTGACATGCAAGCAGACGAAAGCCAATGGAACTGTGCAGGTGGTATCTCTAAGAGCATGTGCCCCTAAAGACCGGCCTCTGGGAAGAAAACCGTGTTCTGGTCATCCATGTGTTCAGTGGGAACCAGGGAGCCAGGTAAAGCTAATACATCTAGTATGTGGACAGCACTATCTGTAATAATCACCTTATTTTCAATAAACTACTTTTGGGGTGGGGTCAGGAATCTGATTAGTCTCTGAAATGAATGTATGTCTTTGACCTCAAGGTTTATATTTAGAAATTATAATGTCTCTGTCTTCCAGTACAAAAGTGAACCAAGTTTGGGTTCTTTGAATGCAGTGATGCCATAACAGAATTTCCAAGGTAGACCAGCTTAAGGGAGTAAGAATAAAAGCAGCCTTCATGAAAAGGAGGAGGGCAAAATTAGTGGTATCTGCACTAACGCCTCAGAATCTTTATCCCAAATGCCACCTTTAATAATGTTATAATAAAATACTTAGGAAAAAGTTTAACGTGTTTAAAATTTAAGGAATCCTTTAAAATTTAAGGAATCCATAAATAAACATATAACACATTATTGAAACACGTAAAAGTTGAACAAATAAAAGACCTATTATACTCCTGAATGGAAAATCTCAGTACTATAAAGATGTCGATTTCCTTAAATGAATTTATGCATGTAATTCCAATTGACATCATAGTAGAAATTTTTTTATGGAACTTAAGATCATTCTGACATTCACATGGGAGATAATATGACAATAAAGACAGTAAATTTTTATTTTAAAAAAATATTGGACTGGGCCAGGTGCGGTGGCTCACACTTATAATCCTAGCACTTTGGGAGGCCGAGGTGGGTGGACTGCCTAAGCTCAGGAGTTCGAGACCAGCCTGGGCAACACGGTGAAACCCTGTCTCTACTAAAAAGAAGAAGAAGAAAAAAAAATTAGCCAGGCGTGGCAGTGTGTACCTGTAATCCCAGCTACTTAGGAGGCTAATGCAGGAGAATTGCTTGAACCCAGGAGGAGGAGGTTGCAGTGAGTTGAGATCATACTGTTGTACCCCAGCCTAGGCCACAGAGCAAGACTGTCTCAGGAAAAAAAAAAAAAAAAAAAGTATTGGAGAGGCTTTCCTCATCCTGTGTCAGAGCACGATGCAAAACTGTCATAAGTAAAATAGTACAGCATTAGTGCACAAGAGACACAGGTTATGGCGTATAATTAGAGCATAGAAACAGACCAGATTGAGTTTAAAGTTTAAAGAAAGTTAATCATAGGAGAAAACATTGTTTTAAAAATAGAAGCTATAAAACTACAAAATATTTTTCAAAGAAACTAAAGAAGATCTAAATAAATGGAAAGCTATAAGACTTATTATTAAAAGTAACAAAATACTCCTGAAATTTATCTACAAATTCAATGCAATCCCTATCAAAATTTCATCTGATTTCTTTATAGAAGTTGACAAGCTGATCCTAAAAATTCATGTGGAAATGGAAGAAACCCAGAATAACCAAAACAATTTTGAAAAGGAACAAAGTTGCAGGACTCAGACTTGCTGATTTCAAAACTTACTAAAAAGCTACAGTAATCTAGTATGGTACTGACATAGGATTGACATATAGATCAATGAAATTGAATTGAGTCCAGAGATAAACCTTCTGACATGATTATAAGTTTCCTGAGGCCTCCCCCAGCCATGCTGAACTTGATTATAACTCCTTAAAATGGAATTCTTTCTAGTTTCTACCAACTCTCATAACTGGCAGTTTTCTATTATGATTTATTTAGTGCCATCTTCAATAGTATATATTATACTGAAATACTAGTAATTTACAAAGGAAAGAGGTTTAATTTTTAGTCAATTAAACCTCTTTCCTTTGTAAATTACCCAGTCTCGGGTGTCTTTATAGCAATGTGAAAAGAACTAATACAGAGGGGAAAGGAAGCTTAGAAAGTATGTTCCTGACTCTGAAAAAGAGGTGTCTGGTCCATACAGGTGTACCCTAATCTTCTCTAATTCCCCGTGACGACAGTTGGTTACAGTACCCTTGTAATAGGTCTTCAGCTATCCTGCCTCAGTATGTGATCTTAGTACCACACAGCATGTATGAGCTTGCAGGGTTTACACTGCATTGTACTTTTTCATTCCAGTGTCCTGGACGTTGCATGGGCCGTGCCGTGAGGATGCAGCAGCGTCACACAGCTTGTCAACACAACAGCTCTAACTCCAACTGTGACGACAGAAGGAGGTAATGGCCCCACCCTAGAGCAACACACATTCTCTCCTGACTCAGGACAATGATTATAACTGCCTGAAAATGGAATTCTTTCTAGTTTCTACCAAATCTCATAATTGGCAGTTTTCTATTATGATTTATTTAGTGCCATCTTCAATAGGATATATTATACTGAAATACTAGTTAATGTGCACTATTTATAATTACAGATTATTTGGATCTTAAACATTAAAGGGACACCACTCTGTGGTAAAAGGGAAAAAAGGATAACTTGAGAGTAGGCAGATACTTCTCCCTCTATATACTAAGTTAATCAAGTGTAATAATATTCCATTTAGGCTTACAGACTAAATCTTCTTAATGCTTTTAATGAACTGCTTTCTCTGTTTAGAAAATGTTTTGATTAGGATATTGGCACAGTGGTTTAGCAGATAGTAAAACAAACTTTAATCTTGTTGAGGGGCTTAAATAAGAATGGAGTTTGCTTTTCTCCTTTTATAAAAGTGTGAGCTGGTAGATGGTTTAGGGATAGAAGAGTTTTGTTCATGGGGTCGTCCAGAGATCCAGACGCCCTCCATCTGGCAGCTCAGCCACTCCAGAGAACAGGACCCAAGCCAGCAGAAAGTGGGGAGAGAGCCTAGAAGGCACACTAATCAGGGGCCTGGGAGTTCTATTATAGCGCTGGCTTTTTGTGTGACCTTGGACTGCCTAGCCACTGAATCTGCAAAGTGGAATATTATCATCCATGTGAACTTATGGTTAGAAAGTTTTAATGATTTCACTTAGTGTAAAGCTCCTAAGCAGCCTGGGTCATGGAAGATGCTCAATATCTAGCTATCTCTTCCGCCTCTGTGTCCCGAGTTTTGCTGGAGAAGATGAGATGACCTTGACAATTGGCTGGGTTACCATTTTAAGCCTTCAGTAAGGTTTGGCAATGTAGCGTTAGTTGCATTTCCTATTCCCCACAAAATGATTTCAAGCCTGAATCATTCTCCTCAAATGGAAAATGTTTGGAACGGCTGCTTTCATTCTCAACAGAAACCTAGTTTCCTATTTTGCTGAGATGATAGAGACCACACACAGATTGATATGCATCATCCCAGATGTTTTACTTTGCATTCACAAAGATATATTTACAACACAAACACATACATGGGTTACATATGTGTTTTTCTGACATTTGCTTTTTCTACCTGAGAATGAATGTATTATAGATGCTTCCCATCAAGTAGCAATTAATTATTCTTTTTAATTTTTGTACTTAATATTCTATTCTCAATAGTCTATCTAAATTTTGTACTTAATATTCTGTTGCTACAGGACATTGGATGGTTTCAAATTTTTTGCTATTATAAACAAAGCAGCAGTAAATATCCTGGAACATATATCTTTGTGCACAAGGGTAATCTTTTTATAGGGTAGATTTTTAGATAGGGGATTGAATTGGTAGGAATGCTCATTTTGATCCCATCAAATTTCCATCAAAATTTCTACACCAGCAATATGTGAGAGTTGCCCCCGTTCATCAACATGATATAGGTTTGCAGTCTTTTAAAAATTTTGCCAATCTGATGGATGAAAATTTATATCTCATTGTAATTTGTACTTTCCTGATTACTTTTTTTATATGATTTTTTATGTCTTGTATTTTTTCTTCTTGAACTCATCTACATTTTTTTTTCTGCCACCATTACCCTTGGCCACACCACCATCATCTCTCACCTGGTCTACCATCACAGCTATCCAGCTGGTCCTGTTCATCCATCCATGCTCCTTTCCAACCCAGTCTTCACACTGCAGCCAGAGTGAGTTTTCTCAAATCCAAATCTGATCCTACCACACCATAACCCATCTCCTTGCTAGATTAAAATTACTTTAGAGGCTTTACTTTCTCTTAGGAAGATTGACCAAATTCTCAGTGTGGCCTATAAAATACCACATGCTTGGCCAGGCATGGTGGCTCACACTTGTAATCCCAGCACTTTGGGAGGCTGAGACAGGCAGATCACTTGAGATCAGGAGATCGAGATCAGCCTGGCCAATATTGTGAAACCCTGTCTCTAGTAAAAATACAAAATTAGCTGGGCGTGGTGGCACACACCTGTAGTCCCAATTACTTGGGAGGCTGAGGCAGGA